ATGACTACAGAGATCAGTTCCCTGGGAGAAAACGCCTGCTTTGGAGTGTGAACTCTGTAGCATTATATCTTGCTGAAGTCTCTTCTGTCCTCAAACCCCTCCCTCCCCAGGCTCCACCCTCCAAATCTCCAGGAAATTTCTAAACTGGAGTAAGCAACCCAATCTGCTTATCTCTGATCACTTCCTTCCTACATAAAAATTTGATGAAAAATCTGTGGAGGAGGGTGGACTACAAAGAGAGGTCTCCAATCTGTAACTGCTATTGTAAAGTATCGTTCTTGTGCCTTCTCTTTGCCATTATGGTGCAAAGAAAGTGAGACAAGATCCTCACCTGACTTAGATCCTGACATCCAACACTGGCATGGAAACAACAAGGAGGATCAGGGAGGGGGTAACTAGCACTGGATGTTAACCCCTGGTGTGGTGTGATGTGGAGGATGCAAAGACATCACTCTGCAGAAGCAGTTGAGAAAGTAATGTGTAACACATACAGCAACATCATCAAAGTATTGTTCTAGTCTATTTCATAAGGAGCCAGTTTGTTGCACAAATGCCTCAAACTGCACAGGGAAACGGAGATCTGTGATACACAAGGGTGGATTTAGGGAGGGCCTGCCCTCTTGACTGCTTCTCTAGAACTGTACTGCTGACTGGTTCCTGGCTTGCTAGACTCATAGGGCCGTAGGTGGGTGCATGAGTATCATGATACGCACTTAGTGTGGAAATTTCCAAGTTGGCTTGATTCCCCTACAGTTAACCTCTATATTTATCAGAAAAAACCTGTAATCGTTGTATCGCCAGGGGTCTTGTTGTAGAAAAAGAGCTGCCGGAGCTCATTAGCATAACTCATTAGCATAACTTATTTGCATATGCCACGCCCCCTGACATCACCGGAAGTGACAGAAGGCCACACCCCCTGATATCACCAGAAGTGTGTCAGAAGGCTCGGCTACTTACCCTCCTGCTTCATCCTCATTCCCAAACGGAATGAGGATCGAAGCAGAGGGCAGGGTAAAGAAGGGGGCGGGGCTTCACCACGTGACCGCCCCGCCCCCTAGAGGTTCTCTTCCGGAGCTCCGTACCTGAGAGCTCCCCCCCGACTAGAGCCCTGTGTATCGCAATGATTAGCAGTGGCTCATCCCGGGGTGGAGTGGAGAAGTACTAAATAGGTTGTTTCCTTGTTCTCAGTTGAGGTTGTTTCCTTGATCTCAGTCTGCGCATGTCGTATTCCTTCTACTACTCAATATTTCCTCTATTACTCAGAATTCCTTGCATTACTCATTCCTTCAGTTACTCAAAGTTCAATGTTGATGGGGGAAAGTCTGCCAATTATACAGTGGCAAACAGCATCAGAAACTGACCTAAGGCCAGGGCTGGAGACAGCCCACAGGGGCAAGGCCCAAGATGAATCTGGCTTACGTAGATATAATTTTTGATTGAACCTGAGGCCCTATCTCTGCCTGTGTTAATAAAATGCAATTTCCAAGTGCACCCAACAATTTGTAGTCAGCGTTCTTAAGCCCAGGGCCCCATTGTCCAACTGTGATTAAATGGTCTGCTTTGTCTTTGCAGCTCACACTCATTTACCGGCTATCCAGGCATTTTGTACAGTTTGGAATAGAATTTAAAACTGTTTCACTTTGGCTGGATTGTGGCCACAGTTAATGGCGCTTTGCTCAAAGGGCTGATTTACTTGCCTCACATATAACATGTGTCTTTTCTGCCTCTTGCACAGCACATACAACAGTTCTTTAAGCACAAAGGGATATCTTACATGGTTTAAATTAGGGCGAAGGCTCCCTATGCAAACTCTATATAGCAACTGCATCACAGGGTTCTGTAGTCCAAACAAGCAACTGTTTTCTCGTATGTATATACATCTAGCCGGTTTAGGTTTCAGCTACTTAAATGCCAGTGGACCATCATTTGGTTTCACTTTGAATCAGACATAAAATGTACAAAATACACACTGCCTTCCCATGACACTGGACATTCTTTTCCATTAGAGCCTAAATAAATTTTCAAAGGGTACAGCTCTCATTTAATTTGCCTTGTTACTCTCATTTACTTTGCAGAGGATCTTGGAAATTATAAATAAACATGGGGACAATGCATGGGGGAACCCCCACCAACCCCTACTAAAATTATTCTGAGCTTTGAAAAGCTACCGTGGTGGTCATGTGCAAGTCAAAGTCATTTTTTTGGCTGGGCTTATGGCAGAGGACTTCTCAGTGAATTGTGCTCTCTCTGACTATTATGTTTGACTTCTAAAGGGATTTTTGATTCTCTGTTCTGACTGGCCTTCCACATCCCTTATATACTCAAAATATCTCACTAGCTCATTTTAGCCCATATTTCAGGCACTTAGCTGCAGGTTCTGAGCAGTGTTCCCTCTAAGATGAGTTAGTGTGAGCTAGCTCACAGGTTTTTAGCCTCCGGCTCACACATTTTTGTGTTTGCTCAGGAAGGATGGCTCCAGAGCAAACTAATTTATGTATTAGTCAAATTGCCCACTCACAACTTTAATGCCAGTAGCTCACAAAGTAGCATTTTTGCTCACAAGGCTCTGCAGCTTAGAGGGAACATTGGTTCTCCGTGCCCAGGACAATAATGTCTAGGTAGTGTAGTTTGGCCATATACGTGCCCTGTACTTAAAACAAGCTGAATTATGCCACCCACATAAGAACATAAGAGAAGCCAATGTTGAATCAGGCCAATGGCCCATCCAGTCCAACACTCTGTCACACAGTAGCTAAAAATAACAGGTGCCATCAGGAGGTCCATCAGTGGGGCCAGGACACTAGAAGCTCTCCGACTGTTGCCCCCCAGCACGATAAAATATTTGTTAAGTGTGGAGGCCTGGGTTCAAATCCCCAGTTAGTATGACCTCTCCCTCAGCCTAACTTACCTCACAGGGTCATTGTGAAACTAAAACTGGAGAAGGTAGAATCGTGTACCCCATGACGTTGGGATAACTGAGCATGTGTGCAAGAGAAAGCTGATCCTTGGCACTGAAGGCCCTGCTCCTGACAAGTGGAAACTCTCCTCAGTCTCACTTCTAAAATCTGTGTATGCGCTACCAACCAATCTTCGAGACTGTCTTCGTGAAGTCAGAAATGCAAGTTCCATAATGTTGAGTTCAGTACATGGGTCCACACTGGGCAGAGGGATTATAGACTATACAAATCTCTAGTCCTTATGCTGCAAATTATTGAACCTAACAATGTTTTGGAATCATGTCCAGCAATATTTAGCTGCATAAATGTTGGCCTTTGTGTTTTTTTTCAAAATGTCTCTTTTATTGATATTGCCCACTTCCAGTCCTACTATGCCAACACTTTCTAAACACAAAGCAGCATGAGTTTTACAGCCACTTTGAGATAGACAGAAAAGCAGAATATAAACATTTTCAAGATATAAACCAATGAATAAAGGAATAAAGGAAAGTGAAAACTTACTGATTTCTCTTTTGCTAGAGATGTCCTGTTGCAAAATCACACTTCTGGCTTACCATATGTCATTCAAAATGTGATATTAGTAGGTATTTAACAATGCTGATATTCAAATCTGTTTTTATGTTTACCTATTATTTTTGGATTTTTGGATACTGTTCCTAGTATCCATGTCCTTTACTTGTGCTGTAATGTAATCATTGTACGTATGTACATATGTTTCACCCAGTACATGTTACATTTTATGGCTCCTTGACCCTACTGTCTTTTCCTCATCTTCTTACATAAAATGACCATTAGTAAGTATTTATACTGAAGGACTAACTACGCATTACATTATTTCCAGGGAGATCCCCAGGTCAGATGGAGAAGAATGTTCTGGAGTTCCAAGCTTTCCAGTTCTGTGCTGGCCCAATTTGGATTGAATGTAAAGAGCAGGGGTCATTTGGGGGGGGACGCGGGGGGACGCCATCCCCCCAGGTGAGGTGCGGGAGGGCGGGGCCTGGAGCTCCCTGCTGGTGCCCGCTTGAGGTCGCCGCCGGCTGTGGGGAGGACACACTTCCGGTGGTCAGGGTGTGTGGCATATGCTAATGAGTTATGCTAATGAGTCCCCCTAACTCTTTTTCTACGAAATGACCCCTGGTAAAGAGGGTGGACTTAGACCTAGTGTTGCCAACCTCCAGGTGATGGCTGGAGATCTCCCACTATTACAACTGAACTCTAGGTGACAGAGATCAGTTCACCTGGAGAAAATGGCCACTTCGGGAGGTGGACTCTGTAGCATTATACCCACTGAATTCCCCCTCTCAAACCCTGCCCTCTTCAGGCTCCACCCCCAAAATATCCAGGTATTTCCTGACCCAGAGATGGCAACCCTACTTAGATCTCCTGCTGTACCATTTCCCATTGTGGAAATGTAACGTCAATACATGTGCAGCCCCTATGGTTGACAACTATGGGCTGGGAAAATTCTCATTTAGGGGTGGAGCCTGGTGAGGTTGGAATTTGGGGAGGGACCTTAGCAAGGTATAATATCATAGATTCAACTTTCCAAAGCAGGCATTTTCTCCACGGGAACTGATCTCTATCGTCAGGAGGTCAGTTGCAATTCTGTGAGATCTGTGGGGGTCCACCTGGAGGCTGGCAACCGTAGCAGCTCCAGCAGGGCAACTGGTGCCCCTGAGGGCCATTTTTAGGTCAGGACAATGGTGCAGGTAGAAGATAGGGGCTCCCTCTGTGTGTCACTGTCCCAATTCAAATTGAGCCCATGCATGCCTGGGCGGTGCAGAATATCAGAACACACCTCTCTACCTAATGTAGGGACATCCCTAGGGAAAATGTACAATGGTAGTTATGACTCAGATATGAGAAAGTGGGCTCTAGTCCATGAATGCTTATATGGAAATAAAAGTTTTGCAATGTAATCCATATCTCTAGTCAATAGAAAGTTTCTTCAGTGGAACATGGGAATATTTCTGATCTCGTTAAAATCCCTACTGTACTGGAAGAATGTTAATAATGAATCCACATCCATAATTATGCACTCACTTGTTGCCCAGTGACAAGAAGGATGGAGCCTTCTTTCCCATGTACCACTTGCCGATAAATGTGATCGAGAATTAAGAGTTCGCTCCAGCAGTTCTGAAGCAGCTTCATTTGGTCATCAACCTGTAGGTGAAGAAACAGAACAGGAATTATGGTTGCATGCTGGTGATTTGCTATTTATTATGATTTTATCTGGAGTATTCTAATCCTAGAACTCTGAGAAGGTCTTGAGACCGTGCTGTAGCATTATGAAATCTACTTCTCTATGGCTTCATTTCAAAGCATTGCTGTATCAATATTTGTGGGGCCATCTAGAGTGGCCATTTTCACAAAACCTACCCAGCCAGGATGAGATATCTGTGTGCTTGTGGATTTTAAATTGTTACAACAGCTCCATGGGATGAGCATCTTGTCAAAACAACCCCAAATTTCTACAAAATATGCAACACCACAATTTACGTTTTGGGTCTTCAGCATTGGGAAGCCATTCTATGGAAGGACCCATTGGGTTTTGACCATATCCATTACATGGAGTGAAGAGAGCTGACGATTTATGATGAGAATGCTCCAGCATTGCTTGCAAGTCACACACCCATTAGACAATACAGCCGGATGAAAGAAAAGAGGAGTGGAATATAGTAGATGGATATATTACTAAGTCAAAGGGAAGCTTCTGTTATCCTAGGAGCAGCCTTGCTCTCTCCTCCTCATGCTACAGGTAACCATGATAATTCATTTCTGCTTAGCTCACAGAACAAGGTTGAGCTGATATTAAAGAAGCTCTCTGACTTCTGCCCAGATGTATTTATCTCCTGTGCCACTGGTTATCTGGAAGAGAAGATTGCAGCCATGCCTTGCTGAAAAAGCGCAAGTCTCAAATCCTCAGCATCTGTCACACAAACAAGTCGTGCCGGTTTCAACTATAAAATTGTATTTGTCTTACTGGAAGGGTTGAAATAAATTACAAACGTGTCCAAGATGCATTTCTAAAATGAGCTGAGTTCCTTTTTTTAAATAGTGGGGTTTTGAAATGTCCTGCTAATCAGTACTTTTTTAGTTTGCAATATTCTTCCCAGAAATAAAAGTGTTACAAAACCACATGTCACAATCCAAAGGACCAATGGGTGTAAGCCTGAAGTGCTTTCCATGGGAGCACACAAGCTGCTCAGGTTCTCATCCTGGATGACCATGGGGAAGCCATAGTTCTGATAAGAGCTGTCCTTGAAAAAGAGCAGTTTCTGTCAAGAGCTCTCTCAGCCCCACCTACCTCACAGGGTGTCTGTTGTGCGGAGGGGAAGGGAAAGGAGTTTGGAAGCCACTCTGAGACTCCCTTGGATAGTGAAGGGCGGGGTATAAATCCAACCTCTGTCTTCTCTCTTCTTCTTGAGGGGGACACAAGGAACTGTGAATAGTAAGGGGGTTGCCTATGCAAAACACTTTGCATAGCCTTTTGGATTCCCAGCCCTGATTTTATTATTATTATTTTATGATTTTATTATCGTAATTACGATTTTATTATCATAAATACAGTCTCATCCTAAACAGAGTTATACCCTCCTGAAGTCAGCAGACTTAGAAGGGTGTACATCTCCTTAGGATAGCACTTTTAGTCACTTTGCTGGAAAATACATTAAAGGGATACGCATAGTAAAAAAAGTCAGCCTAAAAACCTCAACCAGTGAGGGGTGGTCTTAGTGATTCTCAGCAAACATCCGGGATGGGCCCCCACAATCACTGCCACCCCTCCTGCCAGGCCTACCCTGTCACTGGGATCCAATGGCCCTCACCCCCATGTGAGGCAGGCCGGAGCTGCATCTACCACCAAAAGCTGGCTGCCCAAGCCTTGGATGGGATGGGTGTGAGTTGCTACTACAGAGCCAAGTGCCCCCTCTGTTGGGGGACAGGCTCATAGGCAGCCCCCCCCCACACACATAAGGCCTGGGGCAGCTGCCCCTGATGCCTATTGGTTAAGACCAACCCTGCAACCAATAAGTACAATTAAACATTCTAAAATGGAGTGTCAGAAGATATGGCAATAGCTTAACCAAGTAGCCCAGTGGCACTTTCAATACTAGCAGCCTTTATTCCAGCAAATATACAGCAGCCAGGTGGGACCTTCAGCACAAAATGCAGATATATTGCCAGAAGTTTATTCCTAGGCATAGAGCTCCAGAAGCTGAAGTTGGTACACTCATTAAAATATGCTCAAATTAATTTTTCATCCTCCATGCTTAACCAAATTCCATCATGGCATGCAAATAAATAGATAGACAGCCCTTTCATAAGGCACGTGTTGAGGTCAGACCATCCACAGTTAACAAGATCCCACCTCTAAATCTACAAACACTCACAAAAAAGGCTTTCAAGAACCATCTCTCTCAACCACAGGCAACAACTCTGGAAAACAAAAAAATCAGTTTGTATTTTGGGGACTTCTGAAGGTCTGAGAGTCATCCACGTGCTATCAACGTTGACCCCCTCCAAAGGTGGCATCCCCTCATTAGCAAGCCAGTGCTGTGCAAACAGTGTGAAACTGAAACAAACAAACAAACCAGAATGACCAGCCCTTGCTCAGAGCTGCTGTTGTATACAAGCCTCATAAAAACAGAAAAACAGAACTTCTGCTAATGGCTCACAGCATCTTCAACTCATTTAACATGGATACGGTCTGCAGTGCAGACATGGAGACCCTGTCCATGATATGGAGAAGAATCCATACGATGATCAACAATGTTGTGCATCATAGCTGCTATGTGCAGTGTCCACCACTTGGACATTGGAACATAAGAAGCTGCCTTATATTGTAACTGTGAGCATATGCAGAGTTATTATTTTTTTTATTAGATTTATACCCTGCCCTCCCTGCCAAAGCAGGCTCAGCCCACTGGTAATTATAAGCAGTCTAAGCCCACTGGGAATAATAAAGGAAGACACAATCTTCAGTTTGCAAGACCTAAACAAGGCTGTTAATGATAGGATTTTTGGGAGGTCATTAATTAATTGGGTTGCCATAAGTCAGAAGTGACTTGATGGCACATAACACACACACACACACAAACCCACTAAGATCAACAGGTTTAGATGGAAGTAACTGTACATCAGATTGCATTGTAAATCCCAAAAACGTCAGTAAAGAAAAATATTACTATGCATGTACAAGCTTCAGAGCGAGTTGTAGAAGGCATGGGAATGCTTACTTAAGGTTTCCTCTGGGACATGGACATATGTACATCACTTGATTTCTCTACACTTGGTTGCAGTACACATGGGTCTGGTTCAAATATTTCTGTACATTAATTATTCTACTCTTGATGGCTTACAGCTAAATGTATGAACTGACTCTACTGAAAAGCATTGGGTCTGATGGAATGTGACAGAGAAGTTAAACCTATGATGCTACCCATGATGGCACATTCATATATGCATGGGCATCCTGTGATGTTGTCATCATGTGACGTACATACTTATGAGATCTTTCCTATGAGGACTGGCAGGTGAATGCATGAGATAACTTTGTTGCAGGGTACCGTAGATGAGGTAAGGTGTTACATCTGGGAATGCTGATCCAAACATGCAACTCATCACTCAATACAGCAGTCTTGAAGTACTGAAACATGGGAACCAGTCCTTGAAGACTCACATGGGACATCTGTGAACTGGCTCCCTTGAAAAGAAATTGCACCTAAAATAATACTGTACAGCCCACTGGTTAAGATCTTCTTAATCTCTGCTATCTGTGCTTTACCTGCAGAGGTGAGGTGGGTGGTCACCTGGGACCAGCGGTGGCACCTCACATTCATAAGGCTCTCCTTGATGATGCTGGCCTGGCACCTATCTTACTTTCCTTTAGATGCCGGGCCAGAAAAATCCTTTTACCTAGGCTTTTATCTAAGAGTTCTGTCTCTTTTAGTTGTTTTATGGTCTGTTTCTGACATGAGAACTGTTTTATTAGTATCACTTTAGGCTGCTCAGTGTTTCTTTTATGCTGTTGTTGGTTTTGTTTTATTGTTTTAGCTATGAGCCACCTCAAACAGGTCTCTGGAGAGGCAGCATATAGATTTGAAAGAAGTTCTATCTGTGGGCCTTGATTGGTGCTAACACACAAGTTATGGTTTGATACTGCAGTCATCAAGGAAATACATTTGAATGGGTGAACTTACCCCTAAGTTATTAAGGATTGCTTCTCATGTTACTTTTCCAGAGAAACACTCTTGATGTATGAATGTGAAACCTCTGGGTCTTAGTGGTTAAAACAAAGTCCATGCTAGCTCTCTGCAAGCTGATGCAAATACACATTAAAGGAGGCCTAAAGTACCCTTCCACCACCAACGTAAGGATTTGTGCTGGTTTGAGCTGAGATAAAAAAAGATGACATTTGTCTAAACAGAGTCTAGATAATAGGATTAAACTCATGAGAAAACAAGAGCTTGTAAGTAAATGCAGAATGAAAGTCCCAACTAAATGAAAAAGAAATGCCTGTGGATTTGTTGAAACCCAAATCCGTTAGTCCTTGAGTGAAAGCCCCTTGCAAATGAGCATTCCAATAATATGTCCTCATGCCAATTAATAGTTAACTATGATAAGGGGCTTTCTTATGCAATGCAGGGCAAGACAAAAGTCACGCTCTTTGTTTTCCTAACACTCTCAGCCATTTTGTGCTGATTACTCTCTTTGAATATATTACTCATTGCTCTTTAAACATCTGTCATTTCTCATGCACTTTCCAAATGGCAGAAGATGCTTCCAGAGTAGCCATTCCACAAGGCAAGCCTAGGTGGCTAACTTGGACAGCACTTTCACCTCCTAGGCAACCAGGTCTAGCACCATCTAGAGATATGGATTCCTGCTGTCTATGCAAACCAAAGCCAATAGAAAGGCAGAGGGCTTACTAGAAGGGCTGCAAGAGAGGAAGACTCTGGCTGGAGCAAGAAGGAGAATGCAAGAAGTAAGGTGGGCTAGGTGTAGTGCATGGATGAATGGCCAGGCAATATCAGCAGATCATTAAGGTTCACTTTGGAGACAGCCTGCCACTTCCTGGGCAGTCTACAGGGCTAAGTAAAATAGGCGACAAGACTTCAGTATTCAGTGAATGCGAGGAAGGCTAAATACTGTAAGCAATAGCC